TTTATGATGTAAAGCACTTTGAAATGCCTTGCTGCTGAAATGTGCTATACAAATAAAATTTGACTTGATTTGATTTTAAAAGTGTCAATATTTATGTAATGACAATTCTTGACAACAGTCATCAACATTCATAAAGACTTCTTCATGTTCATAACAGGTGTTATGTCATATTTATGGCAGCGTCTTATCAGTCTTACGCACAGCCCTTCAAATAAAGTGTCACCACGTTTTCTTTTAATGTGGGAGGTTTCGGTACAGTCGCCCTTAGTTTCAACCTCAATGTGGAAGAGCGACACTGTAACAGGATGCAGGTGTAGATTAGTTCCCACATAGATTAGATATTCGTACTTCCTGGAGTTAGCATACTGGTGTGCAGTCAAAGGGACTCATGAACAAGAAAAAAACCTACATCAGTTTGTTTTTGTCTGATCACCTTGAGCTAATGAGATTGAAGAAGAATCACTTTACAAACCTCACCAGGAAAGTCCTTATGACTAAAGAAGAAATCACTAAAAAGCCTTGCAGTCTGTTTGCCAAACCCATATTTATGACAAATTCATCAAAGCTACGTTTGGTCCTGTTTATTAATTTCTCATGCTTTGCTTGTTTGGCAGACTTCCACTGTGTTGTTTCTGTATACAATAGGGAGATAACAGATTTAAAAAAAAAAAAAGAAAGAAACACTTTCATATTGCTGATGCTAATTCTGAGCAACAGTTGGCACTCTGACATAGAGGAAATCCCATTTTCTGATTAGTTTCCCCCTTCCTAGAAACCAATCTTATGTTTTTTATTTCCCCAAAGTTAAATCTGCTGTGCTCTCTTTTAATCAGGCATGTTGATTATGACTAATTTGTTGCCGTGGCAAGGAGAAGCAGACAGAGGAGGGCTTTTATTGTACATAATATCAGTAACTCAGTGCGGAGGATTACAGTGTCTTCAGAGAACATTTCATTACTTCATTAGGCTCCCTCAGATAACCTTTCATTTCGCATTAATACTTTTCATTTAATCCCTGCCCATGTCTAAGCTGCTGCTTGCAATGTACGACATGATGAGAAAAGCCTGTGGAGCGACTGCTCCTCTACAAGAGGAGGTCCAGGTGATTAAGAAGTGAACTACAAGGGGAGCCCAGAACAGCTGCTGGAACAACGTGCGGAGATTAGCGGGGTTGTTTTTTTGTCGGAATTAGTAATTTTTTTGTCGCGTAAAAGCATCGGCACTTTTTGCTAATTCTTTTAGATCGGTTTATCCCCGGTTCATAATCCCCACGGGCCAGATGTTACCCGAGCGGTGATGCGGTTTGCTCACCTTTCACAGCCACACGCCAAACTGTCTTTTGGCAAAATCGAACCCTAAGTTGCTCCCGCTAGGAGACGGGCATTTTGCTCGACAGCTTGTGTCTGAGTTTGAGGAACAAGCAAAACCCTGGAAAGCCCTGGTTAGATGAGGTTTTCAAGCAAATAATTAATGTGTCCCCATTAATAGCATGCTAGGACAGTGTCATGAAATAAAAATGCATCACTTGTTCTTACAAATGGATCGGTTTCTTGAGAATCTGGGATCAAAGGGCGATGATCAGGAGGAGAGACTCCGTCAGGACATGGAAGAGATGGAGAATTTCACACAATGAAGACATAATGTTCAAGCTACATGTACTTACCCTTATCAGTGTTCAATATTCAATTTACAGAAATCCAAGTCTGTAACATATTTGATCAATACATTTCTGTTGGAAAACAAAAAAATTTTCTCATATTTTTGGATGAGAAATGAACTGATGTCACAGAAATGTCATCAATTTAGTCATTTCTCTGAATCGAATTAAAATCCCGACTTGATAGAGAAAAACAGAAGTCATGTTTGGATTCAGCAGTGCAAATAATCCTAATTCAGTTGGAAAAACATAGACGACTGAAAAAAATATTTTGGTGACCCAGTGTAATTTGACTAGGAGGAAGATCGCTGTCTCTGTTAGCTTTCGAAGTGTATTGACTCAAAAGTGGACTGTGGGTGGAAGACACAAAGACAACCTTTCATCCACAACAGCATACATATTTAATGCCAATTTCTTACAACACTACCCGTAAGGCTTGGTGGTGATTGTGTAATAATTTGAAATATGACTTTCTCTTGAATCTGCTGCTGGGTGAAATACTCTTTCCGTGTTCCTGATATTGATCGTGAAAGATCAAATAAGTAAGGCATAAAACAAAAATTGACCTTCCAACAGAAAGAAAATCTTTAGGAGTCAAACTATGATTATGAAATTCTGCAAACTGTCTACAAAGGCCTCTTTCTACCCGATAGAGTAATTGCTACTGTCATATAAGTTATATAATTTTACATGCTGGATTGTAACTATCTGCTCAGGCTCAGATGGTTGTTTTATTGAAAAGTATGTCAATGTTATAGTTGCATATAAAACAACAACCAGTTGTTAAACAATCACGCTTTGTGTTCTGCTTTATTTGCCAGCTGTGTTTGACACTTGAAACACTGCGAAGAGAAATTAAATTACATGCCAGCCATACTTGAAAACTTACAGGCAGCACAATGCCTATGACAAGAAAAAAAAACCAAAACAGTTATTACCTGAAGCACATTGATTACGTCCTGCAGCAAGAACAGAAAATCCTGGTGTTGGGTTAATCGTAAGCTGTCTGAGCATCACAACCTCAGTATCTGCAAGTCAGCTGGGACTACAGTCTTGTACTTGAAGGAAATATTAAAGTAACATGAGACTATTATTAAATCATAACGTCGTATTTGTTGTAATGCTGATCTACTCTGTAGATCAGGGGTGAGAACAGATTCTGTCAGGCAGAATTTGTCTCTACTCAAAAACGGAGGAAGCAGTTCCATGTTTGAACAAAAAACAATTCGGGGTGCTGTCAAGGTGAGTTAACTCAGCTTATTTATAGACCCAAAGATAAAAACAACACAAGTAAATTGCATGCTGATTTTGATTTTTGTCAAGTTTTTCAAACTTTATTTTGCTGCAAACGCTCAAATTTTAGCTGTATTTTCATTGGGATTTTACGTAATAGACCGACACAAAGTAGTGCATTTTTATCAAGTGGAAACATAAATGTTTTCAGAATCTTGGCACATCAAGAACAGAAATGTTCACTGTGTTCTTTGAAACATGACTCAGTCAGGTCAGATGGAGAGAAACTATGAACATCAAGTCTTTCCACTGATTCTGAACTTGATTTAGGTCTGGACTCTTTTTCCATTCCACTATTGAAACTGAATCTGCATGTTTCAAACATTTCTCTACATTCAACTGGATTTATCATCTGGTCACTCCTGAAGAAAAGCATAATGTCCATCATCTTATCTCATAAACTCATTGAAAACATAACCGGAGCGTTGCCTTCATTCTTTCATGGATGCCTGAGAAACTCTTGAATGTCCCATGGCAACCATTCAGCTGCGAAAAACGCGTGGTGGGACCTGGCTTCGCCTTCGAGGACGAAGCTCCTCCTCAAAGTTGCCGTTTCCAAACTTCTGAGCTTCTGCCTCACAGAGCGGCCCTCCCGTGCCACTCCCCCACTCAGCTCCTTCAGACTAGCCTGCAGCAATTAGCAAACACCTGGTGGAACTGCACATGTGCTGGGCTCATGATCCAAACTACTTTCAACTGGTAAAACCATTAAAGGGTTAAAAGAGGAGCATTGTTGTGATGACTTCCTGAAGGTGGAGTTTCTTGAAGAGAGTTTGCAATTTCAAAGCATTAAATTACCAAGTCACTTTTTTTTAAGTCACATTTGATATATACAGCATTTCTATAACAACTGAATGTAACATAGTTACTTGTTTGGACCATAAATGCCACTATGTGGCTGGAAAACACAATACATAATGTAATTTTTGTAATTTTGTCTGTTTTCAGTGGTAACACACCAGACATGCCACCTACACACCACGTGTTTTCACCCCTCCATCCACTCCATCCACCACCTTCCACATCCCCCCATTGCGCAGCCTTAATTGCATTCTCCGGGGAGTGATGAGTTTGGACACCAGACACTAAACATTAGCTATTCATAACTCCATAGCACCGTATTAAAAATCTGTTCAACTTGGCTGCCTGAAAACGCAGGATTCTGCAGTCTGTTGGAGGCTGCAATTTTCCTGGACGCCAGTGAAACAGCCCCCATTATACAACACATTAATGGCCCAAGCCTGTCATGTTTTGTACATAGGCTGGCATTATTGAAATCCCTGGCTTTTCAAATTCCTTTTTAATTCTCTTAGAAAATGTCCCTCTCATGCCTGGCTCATTACCGGCCGCATCACAGACAATAATGCGGATATTAGCGGACGACCCTTGTGACTTCAGGTCAAAGTTCGGCTGGCGAAATTGAAAGGATTTGACGGTTATAGAAAGCGTTTGTGTACAGAAGCAGCTCTCAGTCGAGCCGTTTTGTTTTTCTTTCCACACGTTGTGAATTATGGTCTTTTTGAGATCTTTACAAAGAAAAAAGATGATTGATCATGCGCTCACGTGTAACAATGAGAAGCTGATCTGCTCCTTTTCCCAATAATGCGTCTCCCGGAAATTAGTTATTGCCACTTCAGAATAAATATCTCGCGGTGTGCAGGGAGAGAGAGATTTGAAACTCTACACAGTGAAATCTATCCAGCACCAAGAAAAGTCCACATTTTCTGGACAACAAAGCATTAAAAGACCAACAACAACATAGGATTTAATTGTCAGAAGTGAAGCAAACTCCTCCATGAGTTTTCGCCATATGAACTTGGGATGCAGGTTAAAAATGTCATCCAAAGAAATTCCCAGAAATTGACATGCCTTGACAAGCCAGCCTCTCCTCAGTTTACTCCTGACAAATGGCAGATCTGTTTACCACTGATAATCTTATCAGATTTGAAACTGACTCATCACCCTGTCTCCGCAAATCTCCGTCTCCTTGACTCATCGACCCGCCAACGTAATGAAAGCTAATCTGAGCCATCGTTCATTTGGTCCGCAGGGCTGAAGATCCGCGAGGTGATGATCAACGTGTCACGTCAGCAGGTGGAGGACTTCCACGGCCCCGAGGACTACTGGTGTCTGTGCGTCGCCTGGAGTCACCTGGGGACCTCCAAGAGCCGCAAGGCAAGCGTCCGCATCGCCTGTAAGCGACGTCATCTCCCTTTGATTCCACCTTGACCCGACTTTTTTGCATGTCAATCATTTGTTAATCAATATTTTTTTAAGGTCACAAATGTACAAGTGCACCATTTCCTGTTGCTTCCTGTTGTTTTGTTTTTAGTTTTTTAATGTTGAATTTTCATTGTCTTTTCTAGACCTGAGGAAGAACTTTGAGCAGGACCCCCAGGGCACTGAGGTGCCTCTGAACGGCATGATTGTTCTGCACTGCCGTCCCCCGGAGGGAGTGCCGGTGGCTGAGGTGAGGGGCTGCTTGCTCTTCAAAGAAACATTTTACCCTGTTGCCTTGAGAGCAGCTGTCATCTGTCTGGTTTACTCGTAGTCGTCATGAGAGAATCTGCTTTCGCTGTGCAGCTTCAACATATCAGAGACTTCTGCACTTTACGTTTCAGTTCAGAGGGGTCTTTAGTTGTACGCCGAGGATTCGGGTGGTTCGAGCTTTTAGAGTTCTGTGTCCGAATCAGGCATTGGTTAGGTTGTGGGGGGTGATTTATATGTCTGTATACGTTGCAAACGTATTCATCCACTGTGGAATTTCTCGTGATAGACCCAAACAAGGTGGTTCATAATTGTCAGGAGGGAGAAAATCGATTCAGGGTTTTGAAAATGTAAACAGTCATCCCTCTGGGTTCAAGCCTTTGCACTTACAGTTGCAAATGTTTTGTAATAAATCTCTACCAGCTTTGCAAAAGACTTAAATGTTTTCCTATTCTTATTTGCAAAGTGGCAGAAATTCACTTAAATCGAAAGGTTCTTAGTTTGTGTTTGAATCTCCACACTGCATAAACACAAACTTGTACTTTTTGTGTCTAGCTTCTAGTGCAAAGATCTTCGTATATTTGAATCAACAGGGTGAATGTTACAGCTGTTATGTTTATTACACTGTCATGAAGATGAAAAACATTCATAAATCTTTACGACTGTTATCATAAAGTGTCATTAGGTAAATAATAGCTCTTTTAATGCAAAGTTGTATTAAAAGTCTATCAAACTTGTCAACGTTGCATTAAAAGTGTTGAATGACACTTCATGACAACAATTTTAAACATTCATTCATTTTCATGACAGGTGTAATGTCATGTTTATGACAGTGTCATGTCAAATAAAGTGTCACAATTAAGACTAACTTTCCAGCAAGACGTAGGCACTTCTTTTCAGCAAATATCTCCTTAATGTTGATGGAAAAGTACAAGCTGCACTGGCAGATTTTTTTCACTGAGAATATAAGAAAAATAATTTGTAAAATAACAAGTCATTCGTTGTCAATATTAATGATCCATTAACTCAAGCTACTTATTTCAAGTGTAAAGATATTTGCACGAGAAACTGATGTTGTGTTTTTGCAGTGCACTGGGTGATTTTAACACACAAACACGTTTTGAGTTACATTTTTTAAACTATTGACCAAAAAGTTGTCTTCTAACGCTCTCTGACCTTCCTCCACATGTCTGCCATGTCTCCTACGTGGCTTATGTCATGCTGCGAATATGTCTTTCTCTCAACAATCTCTTCCTTCCCGCCACTCCTCCACGAAAGGTCAGATTAATGGAGTGCACAACATTTAGCGATCCGATCCCCCTCACTGAGCCGCGGATCTCCGAGTGACCTTGATCCTCTCGACTGTTTGTCTGACTGATGCTCTCCTTGTCTTAAGTGGACACCGTGTCTTGGTAGTTTTGCATTTGTACCACACTCGTTTCTATTTTTGGATGACGGGTAAAACAGTGGTCCATGAGACGCTCGCATTCTGAGATACTGATCCATACCCCAGCCCTGCTTTGAACTGCGCCGTGACCTTCTCCCTGACCCGTCGGCAGCGTTTATCGGTCCTCACCGTGGCGTTTCTCTCATGCAGGTTTGTGTACAGCTGACCTCTCTCTAGCTACTGAAGGCGATTAGACTGACTAGATTTTATGTAGAGGAATCTGAATACTGAATACTACAGCACAATTGTTCTCATTTTTTTACTTGTGACATAAAAAAAACACACACACACAGTTGATCATTTTCCACTTTGCAGCGATTCACCACTGTGTTGCTTTGTCATATTACTTTCCAAAATACTCCACTGGAGACTGTGGTTTTTAAAGTGACAAACTGTAAGAATAAAAATGTGAAGAAGCTTATTTTTCCTTTTGCAATTTTCAGTCTTAAAGGGGTGCATAATTGCCTGAGAACAAAAAAAAAAAAAATCAGCTGTCACGGTCTTTTTAATTTCTACTATGAATACAAAATGAGGCCTTCGTGGACAGTCTCGTCGAGTGGTGTGTGTTGTGCTGCCGCCGCTCGCTGATGTTGTGTTCCTTCATGCAGAGGCTCAGCAGGGAAATATGTCAATATCAAAGCCTGTGTGCGCAGCCATCTGAAGCTTTCCATTTACTAACAGACGCAGCCTGCGATCGACACAAAAACAAAGCGCCAGCCCCACCCTCCGATTTTGGAAAACATCACACTCAAAACGGCGAGCTTTCTGATGCGCCCGCCACAAGGTTATGAATGTCGAAAGGTTAAGGCTTTTGTAAATTAGGGTGAGCTATTGTTCATGTGTAGGATCTTCCACGTGAAAATGAAGTTTACGTAACACTTGGCGAGGATTTCGGTTCTCGCTTGTTTAAATCTGACACCTCTTACTGCTGACACAGCGACGCCAGAGCTTTTGCTCGTCAGTCGGCAAAGACTTTATTACCAAAGTTCAGTGAAAAGCAATTATACGAGATGAGAAAAGGCAACAGCCACCTTTGGTGTGCTGAGGCTGAGGAAGAAGAAGGAGAAGAAAGGTTCAAAGAAAAATTTGGGGTGGTTGATCTGTAAAGAAAATTAGTGATCAAAGGATTTATTATGTCCTTGAAATCAAAGCATTTCTTGATCTATGTCACTGTTTTTCCAATTCAGATCCAGTCTGCTTTTCTGTTTCTCTGTATCGGATCAAAACAGGCAACAAATATTTGTTTGATTAAATAAAATGTTCACAGTTTAAGCTTAGTGTTAAAAGAAAAATGTAAATATTTGTACCTTTTTTCTCACCGATGAAAATGCAGTTGTGCAATAAAACTTTTATTAAGCTTTCATTACGGTTAGACCTCTTAACACCGCAAAATGATCTGCATACAAACACAAATGAGAAGCAAAACTCAGAGTTTTATAAAAAATCATAAAAAAGAAGAATGAAAGTCATTATTTCTCAATCTTTTATTTTGACTAACAGTCCTAAACTGAGCATAGTATGGAAAAAATGTATTCCTAAAGACAAATACATGATATGCAACACAATATGTCCGTTTTACATAGTAAATATGCCTCCTCCATAGATTGTAACAATCTGTAAACAAGGCTTTCTTTGAATAAAAGATGTTCTGCTTTAAAAGAGAAATCTTCCATCCCTTTGAATATCTTGTCTGTTTATGTTTATGGCCATTTGTTGGTAGGTTTTCCATTGTGACGAAAACAAAGACAGTTACAACACAACCAATTCAACCTTGTGTTTTTTTTTCTGAGCTTCATTTCATTTCACTGATTATCTTTTTTGGAAAAGTCTCAAAAGAGTTTGTGTCCTTAGAAACCTCTGTACGTCTGCATGCGTAATGTCATCTTGTGTTTTCTCAAGACTGTAGGTTTCATTGCTTCAGATTTAATATTTGCTTTATTAAATTGAGGTCCGGTGGAATACAAGTTTTTCCAACCCTCGTTTTGCAGCTGCTCTTTGAAGATGGAGAAGGACATGCCGAGAAAGAGGACCAAAGCCGTGCGTGTTTTCGCTCAGAAATTAGCAGAAGGGTTAACCAATTATATTTTAATTAGTAGACAGTGAAGCCTTCAGAGACCAGCATTTTTCTTGCCTGTATTTAACTCAAAGCGGTTCAGTTAGTGCACAAAGAACAAGCTGAGAATCACGGTGGTACATTAAAAACCTATGTTACGTGCAGTACCAAATTTGCCACTTTGCTATTTGCTGTTATTTATGTAAATCGAATCCTCAAAGCATTAAATAGCATGCCAGAAAGTTGCCCCAGAAAGATGGAAGTGAATTTGGCAGCAGTGCATGCATTAGAGATTATAGCCCTGACAATGATGGACAGATGTCCCCAAGCTTTCAAATGGTGATTAACCCAACTAGCAGGAAATACTATGTGACATTTTTACAAAAATCACAAATACATTCAAAGTCTGCCCTTGTTTAGTTGGCCAGTTTATAATTGGATTTCTTATTTTGTTTCCCTGTTTAGTTATTTGACACTCACACTGCTGACTTTTGATTCTTGTACCACCGCTGGCTTTATTAAGCGCACATTCAGTCACTAATTGGGTGACATGCAGGCAGGGGGCTGCTGCTCACAAAACATCCAGCTGCAGCTAACAATCTGTGTCAGAACATCTGCAAAAATGTGCTCCTGTTGTACTCTTTTCTCTGTTTTCTTATGAGAATGTACATTTTTAGGAAAAAAAACGCTACATGGAAAACACAACCAAGGAGAAGAGGATGGCTAGTAGTTTGACATATCAAAGATATGTCAGATCGGTAAAGATATTATGGCTGAGGTAAAAGAATATTTGAGTAATCGAGTACTCTATCATCATTCTTACTCGATTAATGGAGTAATCAGATGTCTCTCTCTCACTCATATGAAGTCCACGCTCCAAGCGTGTAAGAATGCTTGTTGGTCACGCAAAAAAATGGAGAAAACACGGAAAATCCCACATTATCCTCCCAGCACTTAGCAACAACTCATCGTCGGAAAACGAGAGCACCGGCCAACTCAAATAATGATCCGGCCGGAGCATTGAATAATAGAACATAATTTAACGAAGCTTCCAGGCAGATCAATTTTCCTCAAGGAATTTTCATAATCAAGGTCCTTGAATCATTCGAGGAATCGCTACATCAACTGTGTAAGAGGATGAGGTTTGTTCAGATCCTCACAAGATAAACAGTGACTTCATTTAAAAAAAATAAAAAATGCAAAAAAAAATTAATAATTAAAAACAGATAATAATGTATCACATATCTGGAAACCTTATGAATTTTATGGGTAAGATTGCGTCACATTTTCAGCGATAAATAATGTCCATTTATCACCGTAAACACCTTCAGCACTAGGAGCAAGGTACTGTTTCACATCATTGCGTAATAAAAAAATAAACCACAATTATGATTCACTCTGTGATGTTTGAAAAATGCGGAAAACATTAAAATCAAGATTTGCAGTTGCTTAACTAATCCACAGAAATCTTTCCAAAGACATC